ACAAAGTGCGGATACTCGGGATCCGATTTAAAGTTGACTCATACTTCTAACTTCTTAAAGAGACAAAATAAAAAAAGTTGCGTTAAATACACTTAAATCAATATAAATGTTCTTTAAGAGTTTACAGTTTACGATTTGCGAGTTTTTAAAGCAGGGTCGGGTAGCTATACCGCATCTGCAAAGAGTAGATATATTTCTTTAATCCGTGGCTGTCGGTACACAGTACATAGCGGTGGCGGGCGACTGTACTATACATCTAGGTACATCTACATTAAAAGGTCACGACCGCCACTCTTATGTACCCCGGATAGTATGTACCGAAAGGGAGTTCTTTATTGAACCATCTTGGGTGGGAAAGGGGTCGCTTTATTAGGTCAGTAACACTTGTAAATTTGTTTGTTTACACTTGTTGCGCATGTATTCCAATGTGTAATGTTTTGGCTGTTTTAGTTTATTAATTATGTTTTTAGCATTGTTTAAATTGTGTCTTATTCTTAATAGCAGCTTTTAATTGAAATCATAAAAGACACTGGAATGACAGCACAGACGCAGGAGTTAGGTGGCAGGATAATGGAAAAGCATAAGTAACTTATCAAAACTATTAAAATACTTGAAAGATGGTTACATGGTTAATAACAACACAAAAACAACTGTAGAAAAAGCACACATTATTTGTATAATTTTAACCTTTCTGCAGTTGAACATTGAACGCTAACAACTTTTTTATGACCGACTTGTGTTATTTAGTTGCAGTAAATGAATAGTAATAGCAAAGTAAAGTGCATTAAGATGTCGATGGAATCCACCTGTTGACCTAACTAATCTAACCGCGGCGCCCAGTTACTGCGAGCTTGACATTCACGGGGCTCGTGACGACTGACGACCGAAATAACACGCCGTAACAGACCGCACATTACGTAATGCTTCCCCATCTATTTATAGACGTTTTATAATTAAATATAAACATTTATATTTATTCAACGCCGCCGAGATTGTCTTTTACTAAACCTTACCGAGAATAAAATCTATTTATCTCCTGCGCCGGCGCCGATGTTATCATTCATGTTCTTAGAATTGTGTCTGCTATTGATGTCGTTATCGCTCATCAAATTTAAATAGATGGTGTAGTTTTTTTTGGGTCGGCTGGCAAGTGCGGCGTACTAATAACTCTTGCGGTACGCATCGTAAACACGGAAGATGAGTACGACGAGCACGGTTTACGTCCCATTGTTGTTACACAAACAAGTATAAAAAGTGAACCGGTCAGCGGCGCTTTTATCGCTCTCTCGCGGGAGCCGCCCGCTCGAAATGTAGTAATAATAGTAATAACACTCAATCCCATCTCATTCATTTTTCCTTTTCTCGCAACAATACAGTTATGGCCTCGACGTTTTTTTTGTAGATACGCAAAGGGATAGCCCGGCGGCGTTTAATATGTAAAGGAAGGCAAGGTTACGCTCACACGTGCGCTGGGGTGCGTCCGCGTGGTATGCGCCTGTAGTGGTGGGAATCCCCGACTTTTTACAAACACAATCAAAAGAATTATGTAATGTTTGCTCGCATCCGTCGACGCCGACCGCCACCGTTTGTACGAATGCCGATATTTTACATTACCGGGCTCTCGTATTAGTCATAGGTCATTAACATTTCTGCCGGTACGGTGTTTACTTTTTGTACATTTATTATTGCTTCAATGTCCTTGTCGTGTGATGTATGTTTAGCTGCGGAATGTCTCGCATTCCGGCTGGCTCGCACCACTCTTTACGACTCCAACCTTGTGAATTACCTCACCGCATTCGGCTAATTATAGCATGCTTCATATTTATTACATACGTTCAAATGTAAATACATTTATAATCCTTATCATAGTTCTTGACGTAATAATTTTATGACTAATAATACATTGTTGTTATTGTTTACAAAGTGTTATTGTTTTGTGTTGTGTATTGCAGTATATTTTTGAAGCAATGTTAGTAGTAGTAATATCTTTAAGTTTTATGTCGATTAAATTTCCGCGTTTTATTCATATTCCTAAGATTATCTTTTAATATCAAAATACTAATCTACAAATGTAACCTTTTAAAATATCGTATGTTTGTGTGTAAATAAACAATGATTATATTCTATATTTATTGAAATACATTATTATAAATGAATGCAAAAGGAAATGTATATATTTAGGTCATTGATAATGACATAATGTCGGCGAAGGCGGTCGTTGTAGGGCCGCGCGGAATCCGGTTGCATACCTAACGGGCCGCCACGCCGCCTTTGATGCAGCCACCGTCCACGTTGTGTATAATATTGTAACTGCTCCACTTGAGCTTACGCGAAGTCATTATCGCAACTTGTCGTCAACACTTTGTACAGTGCGGAACACAATGAACAACTTTCTAACGCTAGTATATTTCGCATAATGAAAGTACTTTTCGTTATGCTTGTACGTTCATTCATGTTACGATTTTAACCAATACATGATATCTATGTAGGTGTTACATAAAATGCCTGTTTTTTACTGCATGGATTTTGCATGTACACTATGACTGGTTTTTAGGATCAAAAATCCAATTTAAACTTATTAAATAATAGCCTTCCAAGAAACCCATGTTTAAATTAAAACTACATGTTTGTTTAGTAGGAAGGATTATAATCTATATAAAAGCCCGAAATGTTACCTTGACGTGAATTCGAGCACTCTCAGGTAGACTTAATTTTGGAATATGGCTCGTTTCAGAGCTTTGTGCTAAGTAAATTGCTCTCTAAACGGCAGTTAATGCTATCAAATTTCTAAAGTACTCTCCTATCATAATAAAGAAAGTATTGAATTAATTTAACCATAAAATTTTATTGTATTCATTATTAATTGATGTGTATATATACCATCCGAGGAAAACGACCTATTATTTTTATTTAAACAGAATTATATAGTAAAAAGTTAAGTTTTGTAGTTGGTCCTTTGTATCTATGAAACGCAGACGGTTAACTGTGCACTGCGCGGTATTGTTTGTTTTTGATTTGGTACTCGCGTACGTAATGACCGAGCCGCTCTAGAGCCTAACAAAAAGCCCCCTCTCGTATCTTCAAATGAACTTTTACGAGACTCTTGAAACGGTCCCGACGCCGAGGTAAAAATAGGTCACTGCGGTGCTGACTTTCCATTCGTGCGTGTTTTTTATTTACCAACAAAACGCTATATTCCCTATGTTCTCTTACCGGTTTAATTATCTTTTCATATCTGAATGGATGTTTTTATTTACGCATAACATAGAGGCGATTGCATTGGTCTGTCCGACACAGATACAGATGCGTGTGGAGGTATGTAGGTGCGTGCGGGGGCGGGCGAGAGCGGGAGGGTGTGGAGATGTGCGCGTGTCGCGCATCACCCGCGGGTCAATTACTGCATAAATCAATACGGATGTCGCCCATGCGGTAGTTCTTTGTTCCGGCCGACTGGAGATGCGAAGCCGGTCTCGGCGGTGCCAGCTCCGTCCGGAAAACTCGCTGAGGTATCGCGGGGTCGGATGATTACTTATTAACGTAGGTGGAGGCTGGCTGGCGCGGGCGGGCCGCTTTGAGCTCGTCGCGCGATCGATGCAGTGTCGGCCAATGGCGCGTCGCCGCCCGCCGCCCGCCCCGCTCAACCCTCGTGCCGGCCCCCCGCGCGGCCCACCCTGCAACGCCGCCCTCGTAAATCATCGAATCCACCATAAAACATCCCAATGTTCGTAAAAATGTAAGACTAATTGGCGAACACGGTGCTCATATCTCGCAGTCGGAACTGTGTCCGGAAATCTACTGTGGTAGTTTGCAGATGTAAAACATTCGATCGCAGGGCCATGTCCCCGCGGTGTCGCTCGCCCGACTCCCTCCGAATAATTGAATTTTCATCACAGAACAAAATGAGAGCTGAAAGCTGAAACGGGCGGCATTGTTGGCGTAGCGTATTACTTCGGCCGTCAATTATTTAGACACGTTATCAGCCTGGAAATTTATATTACAGTTGGAATATTTTATATGAGAGTTGGCATTTTCTATTCTAGGATTATCTTCTTTTGGTTACTATGTTACACATTTGGACAAAAACTAATGCAAGGAATTTTACTTTGTTACCCATAATGTGAAATAGAGTCGTTGTACAATATTTTTCTTTAAGTTATAAATATATAATTGAATTGTTTATTTTCATTTTAATAAGATAAAGAAAGTCATTGTTGTTTATACCGTAAAGAATTTAAATGATTGTGGTACTTTTTTTACCAATTTTTAAGTTTTTCCAAATCTCCCTGAACACTCCATTGTCATGGTAAAAAAGAAAAATCACAAGAGATGAATAAGTCGACATTGTAACGAGAGTCAATCACTTTTACAACTCTTGCATTTATAATTCATTAGCTAGTCGAAGAAGTTGTCTCTGAGAGTTGAGTCTTCATTTCCAAGTTAAATTCTTCCTTTTATACGAGGGTTAAGTTACAACGAGCCAATAAACTGGAGGACACCGTAATAAGACAATGTCCGCCGGCTATCTGTAGCGAAGCTTTGTTTGTTTCTTGTTAGTTTATTAATAGAAAATAATATATTAATTAACTGATTCATAAAGGAGGATACATTGTTTTCTTTTTAATACGATGTTTCTTTTTCTCTGGATTATAATAGGCACTGGAGGTAAAAGCGTATTTGCTTTGTTATTTATTCATTTTGTTCTATTGACTTCTGTGAATGTAAATCTTTTTATAGGAGTAAGAATATTAATATTATATCCCGCTGCAACGAGACCGTTATATACATTGTTTACTTGTTCTTGTCGTTTAGCGGCAGACTTTCCTCCGTTTAAAATAGGTATAGTTGACACTTTGTAGGTTTTTTTCTTATTGTTTGCTAATGTTTTAATTATTTGTTGTGCAGCCGGCGAGGGCATACGGTGGTCCTCCTTACGGCGGGCCCGGCGGCGGTCAGCAGCCTG